TTATGCGGTCGAGGTACCAAGGAGGAAAACTCATCAGAACAATTGCCATGAAAATATTTATACAAAAGACAGAAGAAAGTCACATCACGACGGTAGGAAAGTGATTGAAGTCGAGATGCCAGGTCAGGACCAATAACATTACAGACCATTATTCGGATTTTGTCGAGAATCTCAAGATATATAGCCAAGGCACCAAACTATTGAATTCACGGATAAATGGTATATTTATACATGTGCAAGATAGATTCTGACGAGAAAAATTGTCTGGGTCGTGAACCAACTTTCCTAACAATCAGACCTAGCAATTAATTCAATATAATCACTCCACTTCATGTCAGGGGAAAACGTGTCCCCAAGAAAGCGCAAAGAGTTGCTCTCCCGGGGGGTTTACATCACCCATGCTGATGAGAGTAAGAAAGGTTCTCTATGATGATTAAAAGATAGTATTGCGAATAATGTTAATGCTACCATGATATCACGTGCAGGATTTATTAAAGAAACTAGTTTACTAATAGCATCTTTAAGTAATACTGTAATTGCACTGTACTTATAAAATATCAAAAGCTTCATGTTGCTCTAGGAGTTATTCGCACGGAACACTGAATCTTGTATCCGAGTTCGAATCCTTATCGAATCTAAGTACTTATGGCCCTTCATTATTGGTTAACTGTTAGCAAATTGATTTCGTAGAGTTCAGTCCTTATTGAATACCCCTTATTTGTAGACTTGTACCAAAGCTCAGTCAAACTTAGTGAATAAACTAAGAAAGTACCAAACGCCAAAATTTTTATTGTCCATTTAATTTGTGAATAGATATCGCAAATAAAATATTAATTAATTGTGTGAAAAACTGAGATTAAAAAAAATTAACCGATTTAGAATTTATTTGAAAGCCGTTTTCTCGTCTAAACGCCCAATATTTAAAAAAAAAAGTTTTTTTCTAAGTTTCATTTTGAATATTTATTTCCTTACTAGCTGTTTATTTAACTCCTGAAATTACGAGTAGAATTTATTAGATCAAATATCACTCTCATGAGTGACGGATCGTAAGTCGGAGATCCGTCTCTTAGATCAGTCAGTTATGTGCCATGCGTGATACACGCTTACGCGATCATGTATCTTTCGATACATGACTGACGAGGCAGGCTTTTTCCCGCAATAAATTGCAATTTCTTTCTGCGGTAGACTAGTTGCCATCCAGGGCTATAGAACCCGGTCTGTCCTGCTATTTACGCATTGCTGGAAGTGGGAGAAGAAGAGGATTAATATCTTTCCCAAGGGTATTAGCACGTAAGTGAATGTAATGGATTCCACTGGGATTCTAACTCGACTCTCCTATTCCTCAATCCGAGCCGCTATCCATTAATCCACCTTGGATACTACCACCTTATAAGGAAGTGCTCAAGTATCAGTCCTTCCATATGGCAGCGAATGCCGGACAATTTCCTCACAAGTAAAGAAAAGATTGGAAGCAATAGAGATGTGATTCTACAGAAGGATGCTGAGGATACTATGAACAGAGCAGGTAAGCAACGACGAAGTCTTAATAAAAATACTCAAAATTAGGAAGAGACAACTGAAACTTCTGGGACAGATAATGAGGAAGGAAGGCTTGGAAAATTTGACACTCACAGTATATCGAAGGCAAAAAGAAACAGGAGGAGGTAGCGGGCAACATACCTGACGCGCTTAAGTGTGTGTACGACAGAACAGGAAACGTGATGGATGGTAAAAAGACAAAAATTACTAAGTAGGAGGTTGTGGAGAGTCATGATCGCCACCGTACTGAAGTTAACACATAGAAGAAAACAAAATATTTCTCAATTACATCAATTAACGCCATAAGTAAAATAAAAATAGCTTTGGTTTTAAAAAAAAAAAACTTTCTTTCTGGGTTTCATATTACATGTGGATACAAACAAAGACCTCCACTTCGACCGAACATTCAACTGGATCATCTGATCCACGTGCCAACAGATCAAACTCTGACTTATCTTATTTGATCAACATCTCTATCCGGACAACCATATTTTTATTTTATGAGCCAAGTGTATGAAATCTAAATATTAACCCGTTTCAGAACAGTCCATTAGGAAACACCGGTGCCCCGTGACAGAAAACATCTTACTTAACAGAACGCCAGTCGGAGATGGCTTGGTTCCGTTTTACATGTCTCTCCTCACGGTCCTAACTTAGGATGTTATTCGTTAAGAGCTGAAAACAACTGCATTTTGCTGAGAGATGGAAGCGGCTCCTGGGTGTTCGGCAACAAAAAGCCCAGTTGAATTCTGTCTTATCTTGGTTATTTGACGACAATACCCACATAGAAGACATCACAAAACATGATCCATGGGATATCTATAAGATCTAACCTCTTTTTTTCTTCTTTTTCTTGTTGTAATCTCATCTTCACATTCTTCTTCTTCTTCTTCTTCTTCTTCTTCTTCTTCTTCTTCTTCTTCTTCTTCTTCTTCTTCTTCTCTTCCTCCTTCTTCTTTATCGTTTCTCATGACTTTTCTTCTAATTGTGTTACTGCTTCCTCTTCTTTCAGTTTTTCTTTGATTTTTTTCTTTCTACTGTGTCCTCATTTTTTTTTCACATTCATTTTTGTCAATATCTTTTCTCCTTATTGTCACATTCTACAATATTGAAATTTACTCCAGGTCGTTACTTTTTTCTCACATCGTTTCTCTTATTGTTCACTTTAACCTTCATCGTCTATTATTCCTCCTTAATTCTTCACACTTTTCTTCTTCTTCTTCTTCTTCTTCTTCTTCTTCTTCTTCTTCTTCTATTAATTGTCCACTTTAGACTACTGGTCTGCATTTTCTCGTTTACATTTTTAAATACGTTTATTCATATATATATATATATATATATATATATATATATATATATATATATATATATATATCTTTTATTATCTATCTATCCGTAAATTCGGACATTTAGTTAATACTGTCAGTGTCTATTATAAACAGTGCATTTACATTTCGTATTTGCTCTTTATCTTATCATTCTGTCAGATTCCGATCCATACTTGATCTATATTTTATCCCAACTCTTTTATATATATATATATATATATATGTGTGTGTGTGTGTGTGTGTGTGTGTGTGTGTATATATATGTGTATATATACATATATATATATATATATATATATATATATATATATATATATATATATATATATATATATATGAAGACAAAAGGTTGTCCTTTACAGATATTTTTTAGTTATATCTGAAAGTTTACACACACACACACATATATATATATATATATATACACACAGAGAGAGAGAGAGAGAGAGAGAGAACATAATAAAGAAGAAAATTAAAAGAAAGAAAGAAAGAAAGAAAGAAAGGAAAGTCTACAGGAAAAAGCACAAATATGGCGCAAGAAAGAACAAACTAAGGAAAATTGAGAAAAACGAAAGCAAGAAAGAAAGTACAGGACGAAAAAAAGAAAGAACGAAAGAACAGAACGTATATTAATAGAAAGAAAGAAAGAAAGAAAGAAAGAAAGAAAGAAAGAAAGAAAGAAAGAAAGTCTACAAAACAATAAGAACAAATATTACGCAAGAAAGAACAAAAGAAAGAAAGAAAGAAAGAAATATGCATGAAATAAAAATAAGAGAAATAAAGAAAGAAAAGTTAGAAAAGAGAGAAAATAAAGAAATAAAAAGAAAGATCTGAAGATGCAAAACCCGTCATATCATTCTTATTTCAATTCATTTTCACTTCATAATATTAGCAACAATTTATGTAAGTTTTCAGTCTCCATTTGGTAATAGTCTATTGGAAAAAGACCAACAAAACAAGAAGAGGAGCTGGATTAGCGAAATGTTTTGGGAGACGGGGATTATCCCGCACCGAAAGCCTTTCAAGGCCTCGATTATCCAGAACTGTATTTTTCTTTCTTTATTTTTATTCATTATCATTATTTTTAATCATTGGCAAGAGACTAGATTTTCTTATCACAAGTCATTTATATTATGAAGATGATCTAAGGCTAGGATTATCCCGTCTTCATCATCGTGCTGGTTTTTAAGCTTCAATTATGTCTCAACTTTGGCAAGAAAACTACAAGACAAAAATCGTTTATTCGGATATATTTTATATCTTTCTATCTTGCCATTTATGTAAAGTACAGATGCTTTTTTTTATTCTTAATTACATAAACAAAAGGGGATGATCATCATTTTCATTTTTTTAAAAATTAGGACAAAAGATGGTAATTACAAGTATCAGCTGCTGGATAACACGTTAATCGTATTAAATCAATAATATACAGTGTACAGCATTCTATTAGTTTGATGCAAAAGTTCCCAGCGCCATCTTTTGAGCAGTGTTTTCTAATTGAAAGATTTTCACTGAATGTTCAAACGGCCGAATCCTCTAGATCTTAAAAAAAAAGAGTGCTTTTCATTAGATCTTAAAGACTGGCGCTACAGAATCACGAAAATAACTTCATCAAATAATAAAAACCACTTGAAGATTTTTAACAGCAGCAGCAGCAGCAACTAAAATGGTATATCGCATGTAACCAGAAAGGAGAATAATGATAATAATCATGATGTGGATTTTCCACACTACTTTAAACAAAATATTAGAAATGAAACCCCCATAAATACTGGAAAGAGCGATAACAGGTAATGGACTTGAAGCTGTGGCCTTGTTAGGGCCAGAAATAAAGATACAAAACTTCCCACACCAAAAGGCCGTACCTACTCCTATTTATAGCTGGGAGAGTCCATACGTGCATGGGTAAATTACCATAACACTTGAGAAGCCTATTTCCCTGAAAAATTGTTTTCAGCGAAAGATTTTATGGATTTCAACCAACAGTAACGGACTTACGGCCATATCGCGTTGAAAAACTAATTCCGGCACGACCACCATAGTTAAGCAACGTCGAGCTAGTCAGTAACGAGATGGTTGACTGTTTGGAAATACCAGGTGCTGTAAGTTGCATTTGCCGGTGGTGTAATGCGTATACGGCCATATCACGTTGAAACACCAATTCTCGTACGATCACCGAAGTTAAGCAACGTTGAGTCTAGATGGGTGACCGTTTGGGAATACCAGGTGCTGCAAGCTTGGATGAGCCGGTGGTGTAATGGATAATGCCTCGGAATTGTTAATCAGAGAGCCGAGTTCCAATTTCATTTGGGTTCGTTATATTCACTTACACGCAATTACCCTTGGGAAAGGTATAAATGCACATCTTCTCCCCCAGCTGTGAGTTAATTAGTAAGACATGTATCACTAAATCATTATTATGTAAAAAAAATTCTTACACTCTAAAATTATTTTCTGGCTTTAAATAACCTGCAAGGAGTTGATAAACCGTAGGAAACGGATCAATCAAATTGAGAGTAACACTAGCTTTTCGTTCAATAAATGCCCAATGTTTTACGAATGGAAACGGTTAATCTCGCTATCAACATTACCATTCGTATAAAGACTAAAGGGTTTTGAACTCACCTGAAATATATCATCAGAAAATTAATTAGTAAAATTAATAGAAAGTTCTAATTTGAATAAAAAAAGACAAGTTTTTCAACATTAAACAAGTGAAAAATAAAGCAAATTTTGTTGCGAATAAAAAAATGATTTCACTTGTAACTCAATTTTTTTGAATCATCTCACCCCAAGCAAGGTAATAAAGCCGTTAAGACGCAAGGGGATACTGAGTGTTAGAGAATATGAAGAAAACACCATTAAGGAGAGTGAACGTTAAAAGAACCATAAGTAAGTGAATAACGATTGACATTGCAGATTAAAGTTGGCTGGCAAGCAAGAAGCCGGAAGAGAGTTCCACAAGCGTGAAGTTCGATAAATGAAACTGTTATCATAAAACATCTATATTTTCTACTCTTGGCGCCAATATGATTATATATCTGAATTATTAGACTTCCGTGACCGACAATGAAGGCGTCGTTCGTGTAAGAAGAGCTCTCAAGGTGTGGGATACGAGTTTAGGTCTCTCCAAAAGTTGATTCGTTATGATTTCACACCGCAGGATAGTAGACTTTGACTGTTGCCGTAAAAAGCAATAAAATGAAGAAAACTAGTAAAAAATTTAATATTGTTAATAAATATATAGACACGTTAACGTAGGTACCTCCACAACAAAAGTGATACAAAGTTTTAAAATTATTTCTTTAATGAAAAATCTTTCTTGAAGCTTTTATTTTAGTTTTAATTTCAAACTAATAGATTAAATTTAATCTTTCTAATAAGCAAATATTTTGCTGTATTTCAAAATTAATTTAAATTGGCTGAAATCAATGTTTGCTTTGAAATCGTTAAAAAAAACGCTGATTTTAGCGCCATTTTTATCAATCTTTCAGCACAATGTTATTATCTTTCAAGAATAAAACATACTTTTCTGAAACTTTAAGGAATATTAGCTGATTCAAAGTTTAATTACTTTGATTTGAAACAAATATTATTTTTAATTTAAAATATTGCAGAACTAGGTTTTTTAACACGGAGGTGAGTGTTTATTTAAGGTGTTGACTGACAGATGGAATTTTATCTAATTTTTTTCTTCGGTGGAAATATCTGAAAAAATACTTGTGTGCGCCTTTTTTATATAATTTTTAAGTACCGAGTAATCCTAAAAATGTAGGAAAATATTCTCCATAATCTAATGTTTTATTGAATTGTGGGTACTTTGGCTTTAAATTTACTATAGTTATCGTTCTTATTTTCTGATCCTGCCATATATGGACGTCTGTATTTACAAAAATCAGCATGGTTATACACACACATGACAAATTCAAAATTCTTTTTAAAATATTGGGGATCGCTAAATTGTAGTAAACTTTTCCATTTATGATTATTAAATATAGTTCTTACTTAATAAAAATATCACCTAACCGGTATAAATTAATACATAAATTCAATATTCATCCCAAAAATTTTTCTTTTTAGTGTCCATAATATGTCTTATTCATAAAAGCAATTAGAAGCTTTTCTAATTAAATAATGTCTTAGTTTTATTACACTTTTTATTTTACCATTCAGAGCATATTTTCGGTAGGTTCTGTTATACAAAAAAAAAATAGGATTTAAATTCTCCAATGAGTTCTGCGTATAAATAATATAAGCATTAAACGGTACAAAAATTAATTTCTCGAAATTTCATAAAATTAACTAAGTGGAGGGTAACAAATGTAAAAAAAAAGTGTTTTTTTACCAAGATTTTCTAAAGAAGAAACATTTCTACAATAATTTAATTCATTTAGGAATAAGTCCTGAAAGTTTTATTAAAATCCGACAATTTGATTTTTGCACTAATTTCCAAATCCTCGTGTTTTTCATCGCAAAAAAGATGCTGAAATTTCTTACACTAATCTTTGGTGGATGCAAGAAAAACAGGGTCTTTAACCAAAATTTCGAAGGTTCTAAAAGGATCAAAAGTATAATTTAATAATCAAAAAGTCCTTTGGTCTTTCTTCGTAATAATAACATAAATATTTTGACCATAAAACTATTTTTATTAAGTTTGGTGCACTTTTTTTTATCATGGTATGTTCATTTTTTAGCGAATCTCTGGAGGTACCTACTGGTTGACATCTCTTAAAAATACACAAGCACTCACACATATACAAATGAACATTTTTTTACGTCCCAGCTTACCTGAGCCTGCGTACATTGCCATCACTGAGAAATGTTATAAACTTTTGTGTAAATATTTGCCTAAAGTTTGTACTCGGGAAATTACCCCCGGCAATATGGCAAAGTTCTGCCTCTTCCAGAGATTTCCTGTTGATTATGATGCACGCAATAAAAAGAACCTTTTGTTTAGATTCACAACTATCAACCTTGATTCACATTTTGTTTCATGTGATTTATCAGTCTCCCTTATTTCAGCCCGCATTTTTTTTAACCGGGCTCTTTACACCATCGGTTTTTCACTCATCTGATTAGAATCCACTCACTGAAACTCTAAAATGATTTTATATCAACGTTTGGCATTAATAATTAGAATTGTCATTTCTCCTAAACATACATGCGGAAACGAACTTCCTTAAAAGCGCGTACCGTTTATCTTTCTCGAAAGAAATGTTTGCTTTTTTTTCTTTCAATAATTTTCATTCTTCTCACTATATTCATTCACTTTTCTACACTCCTCTCCTTCTATTTTTCTATCATTTCTTTCTTTCTTTCTTAAATTAATAATTCGTTTCTATTTTCAATAATTAGCATTCTTCGATAGAAGCACGACTGATTAATGGATAGCGGTTCGAATTTCAGTGGAGTTCATCGCATTCACTGACGTGCTAATTCCCTTGGAAAAGGTATGAACCCATCTCTTCCGCCCAGCTATGGAAAAATAGCAGGACATATTATGCCACTAAAACCTTGGTTGGCAATCAGTCCAGGAGAAGGAAAACTTTGAATCCAAACCATCCTTGAGAAATCCATTTGCCTTGTAGGTTCTGCAACTTTAGGCAAAAGACTAGAAGATAACTTCAAAAACAAATCCACCTCGCATGCGGTCTCGAAGGAATGAACTGGCCCCACTACTTCGAGCTGTGAAAGAAAATAATGAATTTCTCGAGCTTAGTACAATGGTTGGAACAAATATAATTCTAGGATACGGTACGGCATCGTTGAACTCTCTGATTTTGGACCATTCGCCCATTGGTGTATCACACACGGCACTTTAGACGAACATCTCTTGTCATCTATTTACACTTGTGCTTCGAGTCGGTATTTTCTGCTTTAGATCTTTCCTTTGCTTTTCTTCTGCGTCCATTTTCACTTCTACAAGATTTTTTTTTTTATCTTATTCCTTTCTTTTATATTTTTTCCCTTCTATTTTTCTAATGTTTTCTACACATCCTTAATTTATCCTATTTTCAAACTCATTCTCAATCTCTGTTCTCCTTTAACCTTTTACCTTAGCTTCTTCACTCTCCTCTCTCGTCACATTTCAGTCTTCACTACTCCCTCATTACTCATCATTCCTCACTTTTCTCTCTTCACTTTTCACTCCTCACTTCTCACTCATCACTTCTCACTTGACTCTCCAAACTTTTCACTCATCACTCCCCATTCATCACATTTCACTCATCACTTCTCACTGTTCAATCCTCATTTTTCACTCATCACTCCTATTTGATCACATTTCGCTCCTCATTCCTCACTCATCACTTCTCACTTTTCAATCCTCACTTTTCACTCATCACCCTCACTTTCACGTCTCACCTCTCACACATCATTCCTCATTATTCACTTTTCACTCCTCACACATTACTCCCCATTCATCACATTTCACACCACATTCCTCATTTCTCATACATCACTCTTCATTCCTCACATTTTACTCCTCATTTTTCACTTCTCACTCATCATTCTTCATTCCTCAATTTCACTTCTCACATATCATTCTTCATTATTCACTTTTCACTTCTCACTCATCACTTCCCATTTCCCACCTTTTACTCCTCATTTTTCACTTCTCACTCATCATTCATCATTATTCACTTTTCACTTCTCACTCATCACTTCCCATTTCACACATTTTACTCCTCATTTTTCACTTCTCACTCGTCATTCTTCATTCCTCACTTTTCACTTCTCACTCATCACTTCCCATTTCACACCTTTTACTCCTCATTTTTCACTTCTCACTCATCATTCTTCATTCCTCACTTTTCACTTCTCACTCATCACTTCCCATTTCACAACTTTAACTCCTCATTTTTCACTTCTCACTCATCATTCTTCATTATTCACTTTTAACTTCTCACACATCACTTCCCATTTCCAACTTTTTCACTTCTCACTCTTCCTTTCATTCCTCACTTTTCACTTCTCACTCATCATTCTTTTTCACTTCATTCATTCTTCACTTTTCACTTCTCTCACATCACTTCCCATTTCACAACTTTACTCCTCATTTTCACTTCTCCTCATCATTCTTCATTATTCACTTTTCACTTCTCACATCACTTCCCATTTCACACCTTTTTACTCCTCATTTTTCACTTCTCACTCCTCATCATTCATTCTTCATTCCTCCTTTTCACTTCTCACTCATCACTTCCCATTTCACAACTTTTACTCCTCATTTTTCAC